TCAAAGCAACAACATCGCATGCTTGCTCGTAGATAAAATGAAACAAATAAAGTTTAATATGTATCAGTATCATAAGTTTTGGTCCATTCCGCTGGGTTTTGACCACTTAACCACCAGACATCTTCAGAAACAACTAGATATCATAAGTTAAAACTCTAGTAACTTTACCAGAATTGATGTGTAATGAAATGTATCAACTTGATTACTTATGATGGAAATTCTTATGGATGAATCTTAACAATGAAAACATTCACACTGTGATTGAAAGCAATATTGGTACAATGATCCTGTTTGATGTGATATCCAGTGAATTTGCTCTTACAACTTCCCACTTTCGAAAGTATCATTTGAAATAATGAATAAAACACAGATTTTTTTTCAGTAACTTTATTTAAACTCAAATCTAATAGAGTGTTATTCCACTGACTCTGCCAAATATTGAAATGTATAAGAGTAAAATGATGTTTGTGTTTTAGGCATTTAATGATATCACCATCTACTTTAAAGCAAACAGTGTATTGTGAATGATATTGTATATTGTAATGAAGAAAGGTCATGGAGATTTACAAATCTAAATTTGTTCAATTTCAAAATAACAATTAAAATTAAAAATGGTATACACTCCATCAGAAATATGGAACGTATTTTGCAAAAGCACGGTTAATAATCGTTGATTGACATAAATTTATCTACAATATATCAAGTGTTCATATCCAATTAGACGTTGTTAATAATCATGAAATTGCTCTAATAAGCTATGATATATTACAACGATTGCAAGCAGTCTAAACAGATAAATGAATATCGTGGTAAAATGAAATTACTGATGGAAAAATGAAACGCTTCGTTTAGAAAAATCATCTCTGAGGTAATCAGTCTGATAATTGAAATGTCTTTGAAGTGTTTCGCGTACAACATTTGTGAGGCTTATTCAATATATAGGGTGAAATATGAAGCGTTGTTACCGGCTGAAAATAAACATATGTCCTTGACCATGGTAAAAGAAGATATTCGCAAGTACATATTTTGATAGTGGGGAAGGTTAAAATATGATACATATAATAATATCCACAGTGTAAAGGCCTGTTTACCCCCTGAAATGTATTATTTCTGGTATCTTGTTATAATTTCCAAGAAGTAACTCATTTGCAATATACCTTTACAATTATTTGCTTCTGTTGCTTTTTGGCAATTAATACAATTATAGTCATTTATTATTTTTGTATGGGAATCACAAAACTACTTTGTTTACTCTTTGCTATTATCTTTTTGACTGGTTTTTGACTATTAACTACAGATGACAAGCATCTAACATGCTCTAAAACTGTTATTGAAATGTTATAAAACCTATATTCGCCTTTCGGAATCATTATTTTATTCGTTTCTAAGGCATAATGTAACTTTTGCTGCAACATTTCTTGAAATGCAGTCTATTGTAACATTTGAACTGTTGTTTATAACGAATGATAGGTATGTCAGACGTAAGAAACAATGAAAGTAAAAGTCTTTAAAATTCGAGGCACGTTTCCTCCTACGCCGCCATAAAGAACTAGAAACAAATTGACGCATTCAAGCACCGCTTTGAACAGAGATACATTTGCTTATATATCTTAATAAATAAAAACGCAATTATTGTAGAAATTTGCTATACCTTTCTCTGCAAAAAAATAAGAAATACCGACAATATTGTTTTGCTATTACACAAGTGTTCATGCAAACATATACAAGATCTTTCAACAGTATTCAGATAATAAGTGTCAAGGTCGACATTATCTAGATATATGTTATCTTATTATAACTTGTCAGACATGTCAGTGCAGAGCGAAACATGTATTTATAGTGTTCCAGGTTTCTCTACATCGTAAAACAATTGTATAAATTAAAGGGCTGCAAGCTCTGTGGTAATTTCTGATCTTCGTAATCTAAATCGTACTGTATATATGTATGTATTTTCCTGTATGAGTTTATTTGTATGTACTGTAATTCATCTTGCAAAGCACCAGATTTTGAAACATACGGAATTTTGCATAACTAGAGTTGCATCAAAAAAATAATTTATGTTCATTTTTTATGACAGCCACACTTTATCCTTGCATATCATGGCTACTTCTTTAACAAAGACACTTAAAAAGAATTTTAAAAACATTGACTCGACTGTGTTTTGAACTTCAGACCTCTCACACACGAGACGAGCGCGTTACCCCTGCACCACGAAGAAGTTATACAAACACTGCCTGAATAAAATAAAATCATTTTACATTTAGAACCTCATTGCATTTCAGATTTGTAATCCTTATTAATTTCGAGGTATTTTGTTCAGTTTAAAAACCTGTTGATTAAAATTGAAGTAAATAATTCAGCGAATATCTTCTCGCCCAAACAGTCCGACATGTAGAATCTATATATTCCACTACTCGGCAGTCAGATTTATTTGTGTAGTATTCGGTAATCGAAAAATAACATTTTCATTTATTAAAATCATGTTCATCCGCGTAATTTGTGATTGAGTATTTATTGACAATTCTATAAGCCAATGCGTTGTAATTTGTTGGATACTTGTAACAAAATAAAAATATTTCTTTCTTTTAAATTGCTAGTTTTAAGCTGTTTTGAGAACTAGAGTAACATCGGGTAATTTCGACACTTTAAGAGAATTTTGCTCACAAGTGTTTAGGTGTCGATATTACAAGATCCGATTTTAACCCGAATGTGAAACTTACATTTTGGGAATACTTCTTGATTATGTAAACGAACAAGAATGTCTTGTTTGATTTGCAATATCTTTCTTACGAACATAGATATCGTCGTATAATTTCGACATGTTTCGTCTAATTTCGACATACTCCAATTTGATGAAAAGAGAACATGAAACATTTATTGTTTTACTGTGCAATTAGATAAAGATTTTATAAACCATATTCAATCATTAAATGTTATTCCAATTTTTAGTATAGGACAATAAAATGACATTCAACTAATGAAATAATTCGAGGACCGATGTTCAAATATAATAAATAAAACAATTCATTTTCGAAGTAAAAAACACGTTTCTTTTAAGTTCTGGAAAGGTTCGTAATTATACAGTTCATGCACGAATATATTTGATTGATAAGAACGTTACCTGTTCATTGCTTTTGAAATGATTTGAAGTATATACATTGCGTATTAAGTACATACATATACGCATATCCATTGACCATCAATTATCAAACTGGACACATCAAACTGGACACAAAACTGGCAAACAAAGTTGTATTTTATCACTTACTCAACTTAAAATTCATCGGTTCACCTGTACATGAAAAATTGCCATCTATATTTGGACATATCAAGTACACATAATCCATTCGTCAATCGTCAGTGTCACCATTCTAATCATTCATTATTTGTGCATCCAGAACACTTGCTACGTTGACCAAAGTCGTCGTCAGTGTCAGCATAGATGGGAATTTCAGAATTTGATTCTGACGATGTCAGTAGACATGCAATACAGGACTAGCAGACGACACATTGATTATGAAAGTACAGTGAACTTTTGTCCAAAGACAATAGAGGACTATCAGAGGACATATAGCGAGCAGAAGATTTAATGCTCATGACGGTACTCGGTAGTCCTTTGTTAGTAAACGAGACAGGATAAGGAAACGGCATAGGACGAGCAGATGACTCGGTGTTTAGGACAGTGTACAGAGATGTCTGTGCAAGAAGAAAATACAGGGTTAGCAGACTGCAAAGGCTGAATAGACAGCAATTTATCAAAAGACTTGGTGATGCTAAATCTGTATGTTAGTTACAATGCATATTTTATGAAGTAAAGTTTGCAATGTCAATACAGCGACTTGGAAATTATGAATAGCATTCTGCAGTTTGTCAACTTGAAATTAAAAAAAAACATATATCTAATGTTTTTTGTTGTTGTTTATTTTATTTGTTTTTTGTTGTTGTTGTTTTCTAATTAACGTATTTTAATTAATGCATGTAGACCTAGTTACTGTTGTGAATTTAAAGTTTTAATATTTCTATGACTATGTGTCGAAATTGGCCGATAGAGAAGATAAGTATCGTTCAATTCCGACACCCCTGTACAATTGTTATGCGTCTTATAATTGAGAATTAACTCAATGTTAAATGTTCATAACATTCATATTTAACGTTTATTTGCATCGAAACTAATACAAAAATACGAAATGATGACAAAGTTATGTGCCTGAGTTATCGACCCTTCTTATAAGATTCTGTAAATGTCGTTTTTTCGGAAAGAGTTACGAGCAATGGCATCCATAGACCGGAAATTTCTAGAAAAGGAAGAATGCCTAAGAGACCAAGAGCAAGTGATGACGTCACATATAGTTCTGACATCGTACAATGGATTTAAATAAAGTAAAAAATGGTGCTATATGGTTAATATAATATGAAAATGAAAGAAGGTGTCGAAATTACACCAGTGTCGACATTACCCGAAGTTGCTCTACTTTTTGTTAGGTCTGTCGTGAAATTCTATGTCAGAGATTGAATGTCCACTTTGTATTTTACTGATCTTCGATCGTAAAATACAAAAACCGTGTATAATCAGCAATTTTCTAAAACAGACTTATTTCAGCTTCCTTGTCCTCCAAACTACATTTACTGTTACAATTCAAATAATCCATACATTAAACAGTAATCTTTAATTCATTTCCTGAGACAGTTATAGTCTTCTGCAAAAAGAATAATTAGAAGGAATTTGCCTGAGTGAAACTTCGGAGTAACCACTTACTACAGTATTTTTTACAAAATATTCAACTGATACCATCAACGAAACAATAAATATCATATATATGACGCACGACGCGAGAAAACCGGTCTTAATGACACTACAATAAATGTGCACTACAGCGATTTAAATGACGTCACTCTTATTGCGTACTGTATACACATGTAAACACGGAAATGTTTTTTATCGTGTGTTATTGTTTTTTAAGTGTATTATCGTTAGAATTCAGAGGAAAGTTTATAGTAAGAAGTAAGTGTCTATAATGTATAATGTATAATTTATGAAATCAACAACAAAAATATATCATGCATGTTTATTTATCAGAGCATCGAATTGATAAATATTTACTGACGTTTACAGTACTGTATAAAATCTACAATCTAAGTATGCTTTGAAATATGGAAGAATAACTTAATCGGCAACATACATCGGTGCCTTTTTATAGAATAAATTTACGTTGTTTTGATCTTAATTAAATCAGTCTATTGTAGGTTTACCAATTATCGATCTCTGTTTTATAGGCAGATCAAAATTAAGGTTAATTTAAGAATAATCTAATCAGTCGCAAGTTAAATTAATACTCTCTTTCATAATTCATTTACAATATGTTTCTATAATTCATTTAGAACATGTAAGCAATAAAATAATATATGTCCAAAATATGCTACGTCATCATGGAATAAAAACGTTTTTTAGATTTAATATTGTCTTTTATTGATTAATTACCACATTAAATTATTACTGAGAGTATAGCTCAGTGGATTATGCTGTGGCCTCACACTCAAACAAATCGGGTTCGTATCCTGACTGAAGCCAATTTTTTTTATCCGTTTTTTATTCATTTTTTGTCATTCATAGGATCTGAAATCCCTGTGCTCGTATTATTTTTGGGAGAACACTTATCAAGTCACAAAACAGATATTTCGAGAGATACTGACTGTGATTACTCAGAAGTGGAAAAATGTGACACTAGCAACGACGGCACTGCGGGACCACGTACTTCTCGCACAAAAGGTAATTTTTTTCAGTTTGTAGCAAAATATTTACAATGATATAAGGGACAAGAGGTTTAATATATACTCAAAACTACCATCTTACACAATCAGATATAATTTAAATCAGTACTAGGGATATACTACTAAAATATTACAACCACTTCTTCTCAACTCATATAGTATCAGTACAAATACCAGTACTGCTGCACCAGTATGTTTGGTTTGGAAGCAAATAAATACCAGTGCTTTAACATTTTAGGGATTTTACTATCATTTTACCAAGTCTGTACACGTTATATTTTAGGACAAAATAAAAACCGTTACACTGGTTACGTTGGTTATTTTTTAAGTTTGGCGATAAGGCAGAACAGAATGAAAGATCGAGTACCATATGCAAGTACCAGGTACTGATTCAAGAAATCTTCATTACTAAGATTTTACTTACTTCTAGTTACTCGGCAATCTGAACTGATTTTGACACTCTTATCTGTTTTCCCAAAGACAAAATATGAACACTGTAGTATTGTTAAAAAGCACTTCAAATCGCAGCAGGTAATTAATGCTTTTCAATATTACAAAATAATTTAAATTTTCTTTTAAAGACATGTGCGGTGTTAAGTTGATGCGGGATTCGCACATCTAAAGGCATGATTTAGAAACACTTCAACAGCTGGCCGATGTTACAGAGAAGTCATCTACAACAAACAGCCGGTATGTTACCCCAAGCGGTCATGGCGGCAATGGAAACCCGTTCTTGAGGGATTTTTCAAACCAATTATTGGTAAAAGGTAACCTATGTTTATCTCATTTAAATGTAAATGTTGTAACTCAGAAAATATCTTAAACATGAAAATTTAAGGGTTAATTGTTTCTTTAATCGTTTACAAGTAGCTTTATTTTCTTCTTTGATTAACTTTATATTTTGAAGGAAATGTAGATACTGTATAAATGGTCCTTAAAGAGTTATCTGTTAAAATACTTTATTATTTAAATACTTTCTTTATTTATTATTTTAAAATTAAAAAAAAAAAGCAAAAAAAAAACAAAAAAAAAAACATGAGGAAATGGTTCTGTAATCACATATTGATAGAAAGAGTTGTTACATAGAAAGACGCCACATGTATATTGTTAGTAAACAGAATAAAATTTTCCGGAACAAAATATTATGCTGAGGCATTCGTCACATATATCCAGCTTAATACACTTTACAGTAATGCGAGATAAATCAAATTATTCTGTAACATTTGTTTCTGGTTGAATTATGTTTATATGTACAGATGGTCTTATTTTACATTTACAGTTTACAGTTTATGAAAATTAGTCATGTGACCAAGTTTACTGTCGTGCTCTAAAAACTGTCCAAGCTCTTCCATTCTTTTAACTCTCTGAGTGGTAAATGTGCTCAGAATAATGTTTTTTTTTATTTATTTATTAAAGCATATTTAGAAATAAGTTTGCTGCATTTTTCATGACGGACATTTATCATTTTTCTATAGATAGAAAATTCCTGCACTTCCGGTTCCAGTCGAACACACCGGGTGTGGTTATGGCAAAAGCAACACCTGAAGGCGAGGGATATTACATTCAAGTCTTGAAAGAACGCGGATTCCGGTTCGGTTCATGTGTCCGTCCAAGCGTTATAACGCCCGTAGGAATGCCAGCAGTGTCGCGAAGTGTGCGTGCGTTCGTCAGTCAAGACAGTTAATCATATTATCAGTGCAATGTTACAACAGCTTAGTGCAGAATTAAATATCAAGAACTGTTGTTGTTTGTTGTTAAAACACGGCCATTGTTTCTGTTATAAAGAAAAATAGAACTTATTATTTAACTGTCTATGTTTTTTATAAGTATTAAACGTTAAACGTAGACTTATATACTGTTGTTGATTTATTACTTTGGGTATATACCTAAAAAATTGTCTGATTTCAATCTATGCGACCCGTGCATACTAAAACCCACCAACACACCTGTGTCTTCTGACCGTGGTCTGCAATATTTGTTTTTCAAGCAGTATATAGTCTGAAAATTTCCTTTTTTACAGCTTAAACATACTAATGGAGTGAAGTTAAGATTAAAATATAATTGCCGTTTTAAATTTTCCAATTAACAACATTAAACGTCAATTTAATTTTTCGACGTCATTTATTTACAAAGTGATCAAATATATGACGTTCTTTAAATAAGTATATCTCAATAACTAACCCTTTGATTTTAAAACAGTTTTCACCGTCATATTCAGAAAGATATTCTCTACAAAAATAATTGAAAAACCAAATTTCGAAAAAAATGTCATTAAGACCGGTTTTCTCGCGTCGCGCCTCATATGTATTGTAAAGATGTGCTTCGAAACACCACTGTTTTTCAATTCATTGATATATTCTTTCAATGTATAAGCTCTCTTGTGCTGAAGACAAACAACATGCAGCTGCCAAGCCTCAGAAAGCAGTGGAAACGCCATGGACGTTGAAGAGTCAAGTTTGGAAAGATTCGAGTCACCGTAAGAATCTACTCAATGCCCCAAAACACTGACCCACTGTAACTATTTCGAACATACACAAAACAATGCGAATATGAATATTAAATGGGTTTTTTTCCACAGAAACTTTAATTCTATCAATGTAAACGATAATATCCAAAATTTACAGGTCTATAATATCTATAATATACATGTACCCCCATATGGTATAAGTTTATTTATACTTTATAGGTTTTTTTTATATTATCATTAATATTGGTTATTTGATAGAATTTCAAGTTCATGTGGTATTTTCTTTTGAACATACAACATAATAGTCAAAATGAACAAAGTCTGTTAATTGATTAATTTGGTAGGTCAATCTACTATTTTAATGACCTAGTCTGACCCATCAGTGTGTTTACATGCATTTCAATGAAATAAGAACCAAGAACAACTCATCTTAAAATTGCAGACGAAGAATGATAATACTATGATAAAACAATTCGTAAAACTTGCCTACTTAAAGATAATTAATTGTTTTAATATGTTTGCATTTTATTTCCTGCAAAATTCTCCAGTTCGTTGCGACACGAATATACCGTTTCGGTAAACTAAAACTACTTCTATAAATAGATTTTCGGACTTTTACAGTGTTCAGGTCATCATTCTATTTATAGGTAAAGCAATAGTTAACACTGTGTACTACAAAATAATTAATAAAAATACCGAAGAGCGCGATTAATTGACGGATAAAATAATCTCATTGGAATATGTTTACATTGCGAAATCATCCAGTTTGCTATTCATTTTACATATCACGACATTTAATTTTTGATAATCAAACACTTATACGAATCGGAATGTTCGGCTATTATGGCCGACGAAAAGGCTCGAGAAGATGCAATTGCCCTTTCACAAAATCTGATTTCATTCCATAAGGGCGTCGCGCTTCGGCGCGGACGCCAATAAACGTACTGGAAACGCACAAAGCTGCTCGCCGGTATGATGTAAAAAAGACTTCGGCGTTAAAAAGAACAACAACAAAGCATAAACAAAACCAAAAAAAAAACAAAGGGCGTAGGTTGCCATTCGAACGCCATGTAGGATGAGGGGGGGGGGGGGGGTATTAGATCATTTTTAACGTTTATATTGCAAAACATTCTTTGTCACTAATAAAGCAACTACCATACAAACTGTTGCTACACATAACGTGGATAAAACTCACCAAACAACATAAATTGAATGTGTAATACCTTTATACTTTTTTTTCTTTTCTTATCCAAAACTTCAAATTAATATTTCATTTTGGACAAAATAAATCAATAAATTTTAAAAAGTAATAACAAATACGTCATATCTAGCAACATCGCCAGATGTTTTTTAAATGTTATCTTTAGTTTACAACACAGATATTCTTCTAACATTCGACATAACTTCTTTTCATCGATCAGCTACTTTTTATTCATGACAACTGTGCACTTTACATTAAAGAACTTCAACACGTGTTCAACTAACAACTGACAAATCTGACATGCTGAGAAAACGCATTGTGCAAAACTGATATGAGTTTAGCTTGAACTGTATGCGATGCTTCACCTGATTCCTCGTTATCGACGATTGACATTATACATAGACGGACGAAGATATTCGTTATTTATAATTTTAACGTGCTTTTTTGCATTAAACTTCTCATTCGGTATGATAGCAAAGAGTGCATTTGATTTGACATATTTGTAGAGAATCATTAATTTGCAATAGAAAATGCATTCTATGAAATACAGTGGACCATTATTTAGATTATATCTCGTGTCAGAGTCTAAATATAATATGGGCAAGTTAATTACATTTTATACTTTAATTTGCAGTATTTGTCGGTGCTTACAGTTGATTTTGTTTTAGTCTTTTGACTGTTAAAGATCCTGTATGTTGTACCACACTTAAGTTATATTTTATATATGTATATAGTTATGCTTCTAAAACAATATTCAAACATTGAAAAATTGGTTAAACATGTACTGCAAATATTTGTATACATTATATGTAATCTTTAAAATATATGCATTCATTTCTTATTGAAAAACTTGATTAAGACTTTATAGAAAATAAATTTCTAATTACCTCCCTTAACTTGAAATGTTAATTCGGTAATATCTTTACAAATAAGGCTTTTTGGAACTTACCATATTATTAAATCTTCATTTGTGAATTATATTTATGATATAAAACCATAAAAATTGAGTTACACGATCTTTAATGCTTTTAGGTCTTTCGTTTTATACTCGGTCCTACATTAAAGTGTCATATTATGTCTATTAATGGATGGCCTTATGATATGGTAAAAGAAAATAAAAGGACAACATGCTTTGGTTTGGTATTAGAAAAAAAAATGGCATTTTTAATTACAAATTTAAAAAGAAATCTCGTTATGCGACAGTCATTAGTTTTAATTATTCCATTGATTGATGTCAACCCGACTATTGTTTTTTTTGTAATTTAACTTGAGTGAGTCATTTTGATGGCAAGCTTTAGCGATATTAAAAAAAATCAAACTTGCTTTCACAAGTATGCCCCTTACCTTATAACTACACCTTGTCATTATAAGCAAGTATTCTAGGTCTCATGTTGATAACTTTTGAACTATTGGAATCATGGCCAACATTTTGCACGACATCGCGACGACGACGCAGCAGCAATCATAATAGCTCGAATTTTTATTTTAAAAAAGGACGAGCTACAAGTATAAAATATAGAAGGAGTCTGATGTGATTTTGTCCTCAGTCTTATAGTAATTTGATCATGACACTATCGAGGGTATCAATGAATGTACTTAAATTCAAACATACACAAAATATGAGGGTTATGAATTATCAATAATTGCAGTCATTGCACGACCATGTTTTACATTACTGTAATCGGGATTATAAGAACATGTTATGATAATGCAGTCATACTACTGATAATTGCCTTCTTTTGTCTTGACTTTCTCTTATTTATAATATTCATCGCAAATATCACAATAATAGTGATATTATATCTTTCTTGTAAGAAGTAGCTTGTTGCTTTTTCTCTGATTTACACGTTACCTGTTTGTTGAATGGAATGATAAGATATGATAAATGATTGTACCTGAAAAAGAAAAAGTAATGTTTTCATAAAATGTTAAGTGACAACAAAATTATTTGAAGAAAAAGCATCAAAACGTGTTGTAGGACTTGTGTAGAAGGGAAGTAATGCTACATTAAACGCAAGCAATATATTGAGAGTTGCAGTCGACTAAACATCCCTGTTTCTTTATTATTTCTTTTCCAAATAATATTATATATAACATAATATCTGTCTAAGTTGGAACTATCGCTATTTAGAATTGTGTCAGTATATAATATTATCGTTTCGTGTTAATTACAAATTCAACGACCATTCAGATAAATTATTAACCAAAAATTATGTTTGGTCCTGAAAGTAGTAAAGACATAATATTAAAAATTTAATCAGTAGTTCTAGCATTATTTTTAAGTGATTTTGTAAGTCTTTATTGATTCAAGTAATGACCTATTGACCACTAGACATCCTTTACAAACAATCATATTAGATTTTAAGCATGAATTGAGGAAGCTGACTCAAGTAATTTCACCGGGATCGATAAGTAATGAAAAATCTCAAGTAAATTGCTGCTAGAAATTCTCCTGGATAAATATTGTTAATAATGAAAACGTTTGCTTTGTGCATAAATTGTACTTTTACCACGATGATCAGCAATGATTTATCCTATTATTTTTCCCCGTCATTTTCTTATGGAAATATTACATTATGGAAACCGGAAAATCTTCGCTAAGACAAATCTCCAAGGTAATCAGTCTGATAATTGAAATATCTCAGAAGTGTTCCGTATAAAACATTATGCATTTTCACAACTATTTTACATTTGTATATTAAGTCTTTAATTATGACAATGGGATACACCTTTAACACGTCCGTGGTTCACTGTACAGCTTATGACATACATTTTATTATTAATAAAACGTTTTTAAATTTTGGTTCCCCCCTCCCCTTTCCCTTTCCTTTTTCAAAAATTATAAAAATTTTCTTTCATTTAACTTCAAAAGTTTAAAAAATGTTTTTAAAAGCATTAAATTTTTCTCAAGGTTTGAAAAAACATTTTTTTACCCTTTTTTTTAACCTCATCTTTTTTTTCTTTATTTGTAAAACTTTGTTTAGTGGTTTAAACCAAAAACAAGGGCCAAGGTACAAAATTTTTTGTCCAGGTTTTGTGAACTCGTATTTAAAATCTGTATTATAAATTTTGTAAAATAAAAACAGGAAAATTCCAAACCCCTTAAAACATTAATTCCCAAAAATTTTATTTAAAAACCCTTTGGGAAATTTAAACTCGATTTTATTTCCTGAGATCGATTTGCCCTTTGGGGATGTATTTTCGCCGGGTTTTTAAACTGTTGAAAGAGAAGGCGACGGACATTTTTTAAGTTACTCTCCTAAGCAGAAATCACTCGCTACAGGAAATGTCTCTACAATATTCCGCTGATAACATCAAAGAAACAATTAAAGTAGCCCGATCGTTCACTACATTCCAACAATAGCATGGACATGAAAACCACTCATTTCCTCTGCTATCAAATCATCTCATAGTGTCTCTTTCATGTTTCTTTTATTCTGGATAGGTTTGTACAATGCATCATTGTACTTTTACTTTGAAAAAATAACTATTTGTGACAACTATTTTACAAACCTAACAGAACCTTAAACTCGTTTCTCACATTTTTCATATGCAAGGCTTTCGCACCTGTGTTATACATAAGCTTTAAATACAATTACGTGATATTCAAAACCAAAAGTTCATTCCAAAGCATT